TCGTCCAGCATTGAACATTGCACGTTCTTCACTCACCATCCACTGCTTGTGGGCATCGAGGGTCTTCCCAGGGTTCTTTTCCAAGTAGGCACGAACCTTAAAAAAGGAAATTCAACTAAAACAGAATACCCAGGATGTCCAAGATTACAAAACATATACTGATGTAAAGTCTCCTGAACAAGAAAAAATGCTGAATTGTTGCAAGCAACGAAGTTCCAGCGAGCTTGGTGCATCCGAGACTGAGACTTGACTGTGTCCTTTGAAGATCCCGAGCCCGAGGTGTTTGTGTCTTTTGCACATGCACCATCATCATCATGGGACAGTTTGATCTTCTTGTCACCCTTGAGCTCAAGTGTTGGCTTGGTTGAAAACAGATTACTGATGTTTAAAACTTAGAAATAAACCTCCACAAGAACTGAGGCTTTCTCATGAAAAACACGGGACAGCATTCCATGTGCAACCACAGAAACCTCAGAGCGATGCCAAGCCCTGGAAGTCTCCCTCTTCCGCTCTGCCCGCTCTTCCAAGATCTTGGATCGTGTGTTGGGAGTTGTTTCTGCTGTGATGCGCCGAGAACTCCACTTGCTTGCCTGTGGTGAAGTAGCTGCTGTAGCCTCACCGGTGTGAGTCTGCTAGTGATTAACAAACAGCCCAATGAGTTTTCATAATTCTTGTGAACCCCCTTCCCAAACACATTCAACCCTGTCCTCTGTCTCATCATCTTTGAAGATACAGCTAGTCTTATGTTGCAAACGGCGCCTCCGTTGGGGTGCCTGCAGGGACAAAAACGCAAGTATATATACTGAAGCCTTTTTTAGAAAAACAACCCATGCCTTGTCAGTGGCAGAGGGAGAGCCCTCAGGTTTCTCAGCATCAGGTTCCACCTCACCATAAGGTTTCCCACCATCAGGTTTCACCTCATCTCCCGTGTGACCAGAAGCTGCCTCATTGTCCACATTTGTATCACGTGCCACCTCATCGACTTTCACCTCCTTTGCCTTGTCATCAGAGACCACCCCATTGTCCATTGGCATGACAGGCGTCGCACTGTTGGCCAAGGTGGTCTGTACCTAAGGCATGTTGAACTTGATCTCTGTCAAATCATGGTTCTTACTTCAACGAACAAAAAATAGAGTCTAATTAGCATTCAAAGCTACATGAGGTGGTGAAATGGTAGCAGGCTTGGCTGGTGGTGTGTCAAAAATACAAGACGCTGTCCGACGAGTGTTTGGTCGAACTTCATTGGTCTCCTGTTGAGAAGGAGTATCCTCTTCATGCATGTAGTAGGGGTCCTGGGGATCAACCACCTGGCTATCGTTGATCATCATCTCCATGAAGTCATGGTTATCGCTCATCATATCCAAGAAGTCAGCCTCACAACGATTGAAGAATTGATACGGCTGCTTGGCCTCTACCTTCTCCTCATCATTGAACAACGAACGGGCTGTAGGATCCATATTCAATGGTCTCGCCACACTCTCCACAGGCATAGCCATAGTTGCCTTGAACATTTTCTCTTGTGCACATGCAAGAACAACAAATACATGAACCATGAAACAACATAACTTATCAGCTTTTGAAAAGCCCACAAACCAAAATGAGCTGCATTGTCCTTCTTGTGGTTTGTGGTCATGAACTTCTTCACATTGTCACTGAACTGGAACTCAAAACCGGTCAAGTTGTTTGGCTTTGATGCGATGCTTGGAACGGCGACCTTGTTTCCAACCACACCAGAAGTAGCACCATCACACGGCGGCATGTTCATCCCTTTCATGGTAGAACTGAAGGATGTGCCTGCAGAAGCTAAATGCTTCTGAAGCAAATGCTGGTTGGTAGATGCCGCTGCGACATCTGCCTCTAAATTGATGACTGGGACCCCTGCCATTGCAGCAAGAAGGAACGAGCGTACAAACCGACGTGCTTGAATGGCTTCAAAGTGTTTGTATAATCCAACTGATCAATACTTACATACACATGTTCCACATGCCACACTTTCGATTCAACACATTTCAACCCTAAAGACTTTTCCCTTTCAACCGCAGACGTGCGTGTTGGAAAATGTTCTCAAGGGCAAAATCTAGCCGGATCATGCGATCTGGTACTGCATAGAAGGCTGCAACACGATGTCGCCCTTTGCAAACCACAGTGGCTTGGCCGGACCTACTACTTTCTCACGTGGATAGTGTCGCAGTCCTGGGATCTAGAGTGTAGAGGTTGGAATGGCTTGCCCAATGATTCCAACTGTAAATGTGGCAAAAGACAATTGAAAAGAGTTGACAATGTCATATCCAAGAATCGCCACACAAGTGTCAAGTACTCAGAGGCGGCAAGCACCTTGTATCCGATGTAGCCCGCGATGTTGGTTCCACGTAGGTTTTTCTGGTTCACAGCATTGGGTTTGAACACAGAGTGTGCTTCATGGGCGACAATGATTCGATCACTCTCCTCGCCACGCTGCACAGCAGGTGGTCGGTTGAAGCCATGTCCTGTCAATTTCAGGTCCATCATGCCCTTTTCTCAAAACCCACAATCATCTTGTACACTGTGAACGGCCCAATGTCCACCAGGCCCTGAGGGCTTTGCTCCTCGAGGCACACCTGAGATGATGAAACAATATATTAATGTCCCAAGAACACTACTGTCTTCATCAAAGGCACCAGTTCGTCTCCCGAAGACAGACGGAACTCCACAGCTTTGTTTTGGTTGGCCTCTTTCGACAAGAAGTCCTTGGCCTTGCAGGGTTGTCGCATAACCTCAAAGCCTGAAAACTGAGCAGCTCCCTCCCAGCCTTTGAATCTTCAGAAACCCAGCTTCCGCCGGCATAGAGGAACAGCGGCTTGCTGGATGGAGTCTGAACCCCCAACAAACGTGAAGGTGAGTTCATTGTTGTGCTCAGGTACACCTTGTCGTTCACGATGCTGCATGTGAGATTTTGGGCACCCACCGACAAAGTCACTGCCTTCACCTCACAATCCTTGTACTGTGCATCAAAGTCCTCTTTACTCAAAGCTGGCGGGGTCAACAATGTCTGCCCATCAACAGCACGTTCTGGAGTGGGCAGATCCTGCCCCAGGTCTTTGTTGGCATCTTGTGGGACAGGCTCAGGAGCTGGAGCTGCTGTTGGGTTGTCGGTAGGAGCAAAGACTGAGTCGAAGTTCTTCAGGCGAACTCGCCAGTCAGGGTCTTGGATCAGAACACAAAAGTTGAACTCAACCAAGCAACAAATACCCTTCAAACCCTTCAGGATGGAAAAAGGTATTGAAACTCTGTTCTGATATCTAACCCAGGTGCTTCGCACTGGATCTCCCAACCACTTGGCCCTCACTTCTTGTGGAATCTCCAGATGGCCATTTCCAACCATGCGGCAAAGCTTCAGCTCAGGCATCCGTGGGACCATCAGGGCACTCTGGTCTGGTTCAGGGCAGAATTTGGGACTGAAGGCCCCCATGAGCCCAGTCCCTCCTTTCCATTCCTGCAAATTTACCAAATAGTGTGGGCTTCCGGCTTCTGGTGACACTTTGTCACATGTTTGTTTGTTTGTTTACTAAACAGTCTTTGTGCCGGTTCAAAACTTGACCAACATTTGCACATTCAATGAGTCCTCCAGAAGCTTGTCCTTCACTTGCCCCAATGCAAACTGGAAAAGCAAAGGGTGCGCAGTCTCGCTGTAGCAGGCGAGGTAGGCGTTGCTTTGGAGTTCAGTCATCAGATCGATTGCAACCTGAAGCACTCTCACACACAAGACACAGAGACGACAGAAGATGACAGAAGCAACGTAGCTCACATACACAAGGTGAACAACCAATCAAAAACAATCCATTTAGCCACCACGCTTTCTCGAAGGCCCCCTCGTACATGGAGTAGTGGTGAATGACGCAGATCTGTCCCTTGACGGTCGAGACTTTGCTCAAGCAAGCAGTCAAAATCGACTTGATGGTTGCTGGCGCCGAAAACCACTGAGCTCCATCTTCTTTGTCCTTTCAAGTGGCAGAGGCCACCAAATAAGTGTTTGGCTGAATCTGCTCACACAAATGAAACCAATAAGAATATGACTTGATAAATTGACCAAGTTTCGGTGAGCGAACGCCCTGTCTCATGGGAGAAAAACGTTCCACTTTCCGGTGTCACGTAATCGCCTTCAGAGGTTTGATAGCCAATTATCAATCCAACGTGTTTAAAGTGAAGACTAACAAAAACAAATACAAAAGGATCTATACTTGGTGTTTCAAGTGGCTCAACGCCAAAGGTACTGTAGCCTGGCATGTCAGCTCTGTCCAAAACCTGTTCTTGCAAAAGACATTGTCGTCAGCCAGTTTGGCTTCGGCCCCCCGTGGTGCACGGTAGAGGGTACCCTGTCGGCATCCAAGTGTGCTGGACAGCACCACCATCCATCCAGGAAGTATTGCCGGAAAGGTTCTTAGAGGTGAGGCTAGGTGTTCCAAAATCCACCCACATAATCCAACACCATCACCAGCAATGACAGGGCATAGCACAATGACCATGCCTGAAGGTATGACAGATCGTTAAACATAAGTGAGCATTGCACACATACCATGTGAAATTGAAGACCAAGGAACTGCGCTCTGGTTTCAGATTCAAAGTCCGAAGTGTCCAAGAAGCCATCTCGTTGATTTCAGGCATCCCCAATCTTCCATACTTGGTGGTGTCAAGGTACCCGATGTGGTGTGTGCACTGAAGCTCAGCTTCAGGAAAGCACTGTGAAGCTTCCTGCACCACTCGTCTCATGAATGTAGACAGCGAGTCCGTGGGCTTGTCTGTGCACAGCATCATGCAACGACGCTCCATACACCGATCTGCAAGCTGGAGTCCAGTCTGAATCTGGTCTCGAAGGTGAAGCACCTTCAACATGAGTCCCTTCACCACACAATACAACTGGTGGGGGCCAAAACAAAATACTTACAAACTAACAAAAAAAGTTGCAAAAGAATGCAAAATCAACCATGGCACTTGCTGAACGTGTTTGTTGGACTCCACCTGGCTGGGGTAACCGGGTAGCTTGAACTTGAAAATATACAGTGGGAACGTTTGTCTCAACCCCGCCTTGTTTACCCTGAGGTTGTAGGCCACAGCTTCTTTGAAGTCAGCAGCGAGTGAAGCACAAACTACTGCGTACTCAGCTGCAGATAGCTGTTCCTCTGTTTGCTTGAAGCAAGAAATATAATATATCAAGCATAAATGCCATGAACGATTCAAACAACCTCATCAAACCTGTTTTGAACCAACACGTAAAACCTTGTCCTGAGCCTCATCCACTTCTGCGGAGTCTGCCATCATAGCACCAGGTACTGAACTGCTTTTGGCTAGTGGCTTGCCAATGTGGTCTTGGAACATCACCAAGCTCTCAACAGTCATGCGAACAGGCTTGGCAATCAACATGGCATCAATGTCTTGTGAATAATCCCTAGGTGGTGAATTCATCTTGTCAAGTCCCAGTCAAAAATGACAGCAAATTATACCAAAATGATTGGTTCATAAATCTTGCTATGATATACATCCCAATCACCCAGTGAGGAAATTGTCCATCATTCCATCCAACATAGTCTGCGTGATCCGTGGGTCATTCATCTTGGCAATCTCGTTGCATGCCCAAACCGCCACACAGCAATGGTCCACGTTCCGGTTCCAGTTCTCCTCAGACCATCGATGACGTGACCTCATGGAGCGCTTCATTTTGCGACAATTCATGGCCCACCACATGTTGTACTTCTTGATGTGAAGGTGCTGAACTTCTGGTGTTACCTGAAAGGATATGTTCAAGGAACATGTAAACTTGAGATAGAGATTAATCAAAATCAAATATAAACCCATTATACTATACATACAAAAGTTGACGAATCATGAAAGCAAAACCTATACATACAGCAACCATGTTACCACCAAAATTGCTTGCCACACAGCATTGCACCCCTTTACTGTCTCATTCAGCTGGTGGCGTTTGGCCTTCAGCAGTGCTTCATTGTATCCTCATTTCCCAAATAAACTGAGAAAAGACTCCAGACTCCTCTAGACCCCATCTGGACTCTAGACCTTCCCCACACACAAAAAACAAAAAACAAAATTGAGAAAAGACTCCACTCTCCTCCCACTTGTTGTGATCAAGGTGTTGCTTGATGAGACTCCGCGAGATCTCATCTAGGCCAATGATGATGGCCCAAATGGCCTGGTGACCATCGGCCGACACCTGCCATTTCTTGATTGCAGCATTTGCACGATACTGATTGTATTTGGTCACAAGCTCTGCAAGGATCTCTGAGTCGTTCATGTCTGAGGAGGTGCGTCGGCGCTCAACTAACAGCTGTTCAAATCGGAGAGCAGTCTTGAGGATATCTTTTCGCTGTCTCTCAGCACCCTGGGTCGACAGTTGCATGTTCTCAAAGCTGACCTTCTCCATATCACGGGTGCAAGAAATCGAGCATGGCAAGCTGAATATTTCTTGAAGGGCAGGGAGAAATGGCAGCACCAGGTCCTGGAAAATGATAAGAAACCAAACTACAATATGTTGAAAACATTTCTTTCACAACCACAGTCCTTTCCAGCAATTGGATCCAAATCGCTCACGACCATCAAAAGGAAGAGGCCAGCAGTCCTTTGATTGGAGTGAGTTCACAATATATGTATATATATATGTGTGTGTTTTCAAGATTGAATCAAACTAATATATATATATGTATATATACAGGAAAAACTTAACTTTCAACATGTGGGAAGCATCAATCGTGTGAACCCCTTCTTGACTCCAAGAAAGGGTTCATCTGGCAAGGTGCCCTCCTTCTTTACATTCTCTGGGTCCAGCACATACAAATCCAGTGGCTCTCGGTGCAACCTGGAGCCTTGGAAAAGGAAGGAAATCGTAGTGGTGATCCAATCTTCTGTGCTTGGGTTGCCATCTGGCGGTTTTGCCACTTTGATGGCAGAGAGTGGGACCATGGCCATCAGGTGCTGGTCATCAGAGCTGGACAGTTTGCTCACATCCTTTGCTGTGCCATCCATGGTGTACAAGTATGCGTAATTGAATTCAACCCATTTTACACAAAACTAAGTACAAACAAACAAATTGAAAAACCAGTGAACCAAGAAACAGGTGCTGGAGCAATCTCGCATTTCTTCCCATGTATCTTCATTGCCTCTTCTAGGAAGGTTTTGCATTCAGCAATCGTCTGACGAGCTGTCGCCTCATCCTCAAACTTCGTCAATAGCAGGTCCACAGGATGAGCCGCTTTAGCATCAGTTCCGGCAAGTGCTGGCTCACAAAAAATAGCTAAATACCCCAACAGGTCCTCTCAGGGCAGGTGATATGAACACATCTATATGTATGTTTGTATGCATGCATGTATAAAAGAATGTCCAAATAAAAGCACAATTACTTTAATTCCAGCCTTGGCCATCGAAGTATCACCAGGAAGCTTCTTGAGAGCAGCATGCCATTCAGATTTCCTTTTCTTGGCAGCAGGGGTTTCAGCTCCTTCTTTCACCTAACGCCCAAATTGGTGAACCCGTGACTCATAAAGACATTTGATAAGCACAGGGACACACACATGTTGCCAAAAAGAAATAAACACACACATCAACAAAGAAAGAACTACATCATTTGGGGAAAACTTGACTTTAGAAAATATATCTTGAGACCGTCAAAGACACTGGTGAAATGTCAGGTTTCTGATCTTCTTCGGTCTTCACCTTGCTCTCACTCTTCGGTTCTTGCTTCTCTTGTTTTTGTAAAGCTAGTTCCACACCAGCTTTGAGCAAGGGAGATTCCATCACCGGCCAAGTGGACAAGTAAAAAACAACAGACTAAATGATTCTGAACATTCATCCCAAAATCGTCGTAGGTCTAGTCTGTTCATCCCAAAATCGTCGTAGGTGTTGTTGTCTGAGCCCAAAATCGTCGTAGGTGCTGTTTTCTGAGCCCAAAGTCGTCGTTGTTCGTCTGCCCACCTACAAGGATTCCACCTACAAGGAGATTTTGGACGCTAAGCTTGATCAAAATCGTCGTTGTTCGGCTCCCGACCTACAAGGACTTTCCTTTAGAAAAAATGTCGTCAAGGATTTTCAGATTTTCAAAAAATCCAAAATCCTTGACCATGAATTTTCTTTATGTAAATCGTCGTAGGTCGGCAGCCGACCTACAAGGACTTTTTGGACGCTAAGCTTGATCAAAATCGTCGTAGGTGGAATCCCCGTACACTTTGGAGACATGTGATATTTCCACTCTCATGCAGCTTGCATTGTTCTTTTCATAAAGGTCCAAAGCCTTCCTGGGCCCAGCCGGAGGCTCAACCTCAGAGACAGAAACAATGGCAACAACTTTCAGCATTTTTCACCAAATATGGTTGAGCAAAGCAAACAACTGGAAGAACAGCAAAAAGCATCAATCTTCAACAATCAATCTTTTTGCTAAACCACCGCACTGGTAGATTCTGCTTAAAGTATCTTAAAGTTGATATCACCTTCTGCGCCATACTGCTCTCAGCGGTACACTAGGACTCAAGGTCGACAGCACCACAGGGTGTGGTTCTTCTCTTGCCTGAATCACTGCAGCATTGGCAGGGACTTCAGTCGAGTGCCACGGCAAAGGATGCAAAGGGTGTCGGGGGAGTGTTCCCTGTGCCAAACCCCTCAAATATGCAGAGGCCCTTCGGCTGGTTTCGGATCCTCCAAGCAGTTGATCAAATATACTGGCCAATTGCTCCCAGTCTTTCTTGACCCTCCTTGAAATCTCCTTTGTTGGAAGAACACCTTGGCCATGATTGTTCCAAAGCTTTTAACAGACCAATGACCAAAGAAAGACACACAGGTTTGAAAGAAAAGCACTTCTTGTCAGTATCCATGAACAAAGAAGCAAAAATGGCGGCAGCAGTCTACTGATCCAAGATGCGATCAGTCACAAGAGAAAAGAACTCCTTGCATTCTTCTGTCAGCACTAGCAATGGTGGTTGCCGCAGTGACACGGAGCTGATGTATTCCTTCACCAAGCAGAAAATGTCATGATCATGTGGTGGTCTCCGCCGGCAAGTCCCCTCGTCAAGCTCATAGTTGGCAGGGATATCTGAGAGGGATTCAACAAACTTTCAGGTTCAGGAACACATGATCTTTTTTGTCCCAATTCTTTGGCCTTTCCGCTTTGCAAAGAAGAAGAAATGATTCGCCACCCTGTCAGTCAAAAGCCCACCTTCCTGACATGTTGCAAACATATAACCCAAGTCCTTTAGTGGATTTTGGTAAAGCAAATAGAAAGTAGGACAAACACATAGAAAACTCTTAGCACATCAGGTTCTAAAAGTGTCAAGCTGAACAGGAGCACGGTCAGCATGCTG